CAGGTTCATGGGACAGCTCAACGACTTCGTTGCCTCTTGGACTGCACCTCTCACTCGTACCAGTGTTTCTTCTCGGGCTTCCAGTCGGAACCCATGGGCGGGGTCGCTTTCCTGGTACCCGACCAGGCCTAAGTTGCGCGCCACGGGCCGTTGCCGAAGCTTGCGGCTGAGGGGGTGGGCGCGGCCTCCGCACCTCAGACAGGAATGTCCCCTGCACGTTTTGGCAGAGCCTTTCCGGAACGCGTTGAACGCAAGCTTTCTTGTGCAGGTGCGACCTCTTCAAGATTCTCCTCATCGCGATCACGCCCCTCCAGTACCAGTTTACGGTCGTCGACCTCCTCTTCTATTTCTTCTCCGCCGTGTTCGGTAGACATTTGGCGTGGTCAAGGGCCAGCCCATGTTCTCCCCGAGTCCGATGGTCATGAAGCTTGGCACCCTGTCCTTGAGACTCTTGCGAGGATGGTCGTGTGGCGGCGTCGGGGACGCGGGTCCATCCTCGCCCCATAGTCCCAGGGCGGGTCCAACTCATTGAATTCTTCGTGGAGCAGGTCGCACACCCTAGAGCCACGAACGTCCACAATCACGGTGTGGACGGGATTGAAAGGGAACAGATTGGTTAAGAGTGGTCTTGACTCAACGCGCGGGCCAAGCATTCCCCGCGGGAGAGGCTCTTCATTGCCACCCGGGACTTCAACATCCACGACGAACCGCCTTCCTGCATCCAACCCCAGCCGTTGTCCTTCGCCTCGCCTGCTGGCGACCAACATCAGCAGGCCTTCTGGCCACGGCTCTTCAGGGGCATGCTGGAGATCGAAAACGGCAGGCCCACTCGCTTCGACCGCCACAGCCACACGGCCACGCGCATGGACAGGGCCTTCATCAGCCTGCCGTCGCACGCGGCCCCGAACCTCGACATGATGCTCCACCTGGACCAGGACGCGATGGAGCTCCAGCGACCAGGGGATGAGCCATCGCGGCATCCTCTCCTCACGCCTTCGGCTGCACGTCCCGACGGAGGAGGTGCATCAGAGCATCCCTTCCTTCATCGTCGACGTGCCCTAGTTCCAGGAGCACGACGACCTCCTCCACTCCATGTCGAATATCACCGGGCGCTCACCAGCGCAATCGCTGCGCGTCGCGAAGGCGAACATCACCAACGCCGCGGACTCACTCGGAACTTCCTCACAAGCTTGCCAGTCGATACCAAAAGCCAATCGGCCTCCGTTGCCCGCAGTATCACGATGAGATATATCTCTCGGGCGGCGCCGCGCCGAGACGAGGCCCTTCCGCCAGCCTCATCAAGCACACCGACGACGGGCGAGCCCACCTGGTCATCAAAGGCTCGGAGGTTGCCCTCACAGACGAGAGCCACTTCGCCGCCGCTGCTGTCAATGCTCATCGCACTCATCTCCGGGCCCTTCCGCTTCGCGCCCAGCAGGGCGCTGCGCTGGCTACACGTCGACGCCGCACTCAGGGCGCAGTGCATCATCAGCGGCAACAACGGCACCTTCAACGCCGCAGTAGGCCGCGGGCTCCTGTTGCGGACCGCTTGCAGTTTCGAGGGGCGCGCGCGCCTCCCGAAACCCCAGCAGCATGCATGGATCCCCCCCTCTGCGGCGAGTCGTCGGCGCGCTGCGACTGGGGCCCGCACCTCCGCGCCTGGACCCGATCAGCCCCCGCGCGCGGCTTGGACGAGGACCCAAGGCGCGACGTGTTTGAGCTCGCGCAGCCCCGCCAGGTTTCAACCACCCCCTGTTCTCCTTCATCCCCGAGGGCTCCGAGGAGGGGGGCCTGGTCAACTGCATTCGCGATGCCGGCGCCCTTCGACCTATCACCATAAAGAACACCGGTGCAATGAGCACCGCGTCCGCCATGAACGCCCAGTTAGCGCTGCACGTCGCGTCGCGGCTTCATCCGAGGACGCAACTTCTGGGGCAACACTGTCGCCATCGACGCCGAGGCGCGCATGGCCGGCCTGCTTCCCGGCGGGGAGGATTACATGCCCATGCCCATGCTCTTTCGCCGCTGCCTTCCCATCGCTAGGTCGGCAATGGCTGCTCGGTGCCCTCAAGCGCTTCGGCATCCCGCAGTGCTTCTTGAGCGGTGCCCAGGCGTTGTATGAGGCCTCGGAGGGCCCCGCTCTCCTGGGAGTGGTACATCATCACCTGCGTGCGCTGGCCGGCGGGGTTTCGCAGGGCTGCCCATTGTCAGGCAGTGCTTGGGCCATCGCAATGCACCCGATTTTGCGAGCTCTTGCCCAGGCGCTCCCTGGGACATCGCAAATTCCGACCCTTCCTCCGACCTCGCGCTATTCGCATGCGGGCCACGCTCGGCGCTCCTCATTGCAGCCAGAGTCGAAAGACCCACACGTCCAAGACTTGCACTGCGGCGGTCTTGCTGCGGCGTGCGCCGACGACGCAGGCGCCGCCAATCCCAACTTACGCCAGTTGCCCGCGATTGTCAGCATCCTTGACTTTGCAGCCGAGCTCGGCAATCTGCACCTCCAGACCCAGAAGAGCTACCTGATTCCGCTCTGGGCGCCAATGGTCGTTGACGTGGTCCAACGCGCCAGGCGCGTCGTGACCCACCTGGCCCCCCAGTGGCCCGACATCCGCATCGAGGACACGGGGAAGTACCTCGGCACCATCACGGGACCCAACGCAACGACCGACGACCAGTGAGGCCCGCCGGGCGACAAGTGGTGGCGACGGGTGGTGCTCACGAGTCAGACTGGCGCTCCAGACGATTCTACCGTGCGCCTCTTTGACACGTCGTGTCCAACCGCCCTCGCATACTTCGCCCAGTTCTTCGGTCTGCCGCCCAATCTCGCGCGCAAGGAGTTCAACGCACTCCACAAGGTGCTGCGGCCCCCGCCTTCAAACTTCCGCCTGACCGACATATTGTCCTTCGACGCTCGGTCCCCGACCACACCGACCAGGTCGACGCAAGCTCAGGCGGCCGGGACGTTGCGGCGCATGGCGGAGTTCACGAGTACGATTTGGACCACGACTTTGCAGCGGCTGGAGGCTGCGGCGTCCCGCTTGGTTGGGCTCCCGCGACTGGCGGCTGGGAGGCGGTCGCGTCCCTTCTATAGGCACCGCCATCGTGCAACGGCTTGCGGCCTCGTCCAGGGACCGTCCCATGGAGGCCCTTGCCCGCGCGCTCCCACTGCACGAGCTGTTCGGTTGTCCGCGGCAGCCGGCACGCGCCCTCACCCGCAGAGGGCTTTCGTTCAGCCCCTCCGGGCGGCGACCCACTCCGATACATTCGACACGACCCTGAGGAAGAGGCTCGCTACCTGGATCGAGCCCGAGCTGATCCCACGTGACCTCCGACAGAGGTGGTGGCAGTAGAAGGTCTTCCTCATCACACTGCCCCCAGCATGGCGGTGGATCGTCTTGAGGACCCTTGCGGGCGGGTGGCACACCAGCTACCGCATTCATGTTTTGCTGTGCGGCACGCTTGTGTATCTGGATGCGGAGAAGGGCGCGACGAGATCAGCCACTAGCCTGAAATGCCGCCACGCCCCTCACTTGCTGCCTCGCCCTCAACAATTCCTTCATGGCGACCTCCTGCATCGGCCCGGGCTGGTCGGAGATGAGGCTTACCACGACGATCCGCGGCACGAGCATTCCAGGTTCACGACAATGCGCAACCTCGTGTTGCTCTATTGCCTATAGCTGGAGGTCAAGCCCACGGCTTCGTCCGCAAGGTGACCTACCTCCACATTTGCCATTCACAGGGCGTGCCACAAGGCGGCGCTGGACCGCCTCAGCGACAACAACCACTGGGTCGACGCCCCGCGGCTGCGCGGCCGCCGGCCGCCGACCTGACCTTCTGAGGGTATTGGCGATCCTCCTCCTCCTCCTCCTCCTCCTCCTCCTCCTCCTCCTCCTCCTGCTCCTCCTCCTCCTCCGCCTCATTATCCTCCTCTTCCTCCTCCTCCTTCCTCCTCCTCCCCTCCCCCGCTCCTCCTCCCCTCTTCGTCTCCTCTTTCTCCTCCTCCTCCTCCTCCTCCTCCTCCTCCTCCTCCTCCCCCTCCTCCTCCCCCTCCTCCTCCTCTACTCGTCCTCCTCCTCCTCCTCCTCCTCCTCCTTCCTCCTCCTCCTCCTCCCCTCCTCCGCCTCCTCCTCCTCCTCCTCCTCCTCCTCCTCCTCCTCCTCCTCCTCCTCCTCCTCCTCCTCCTCCTCCTCCTCCTCCTCCTCCTCCCTCTTCCCTTCCTCCTAGTCCGTCCCCTCCATCCATAGTCCAGGAGGAAGAATCTTGACCGACACGACAGATCCTCGCATAGACGTTGGTGGGCATCGAAAAGAAGTTCTTCCTCCGACATATCTTTCCACATTGCCAGCTGTGTTATGTTGGAATGTGGGCGCTGGCAAAGTGGGGATATGCTACGGTCGGTGTTTCGAGGGAACGCGCCAATTCCGGCCAGATCTAAAGCCTAAAAGGGGGCCGAAACCCTCGTTTACCCCGCCTTCGCCCCAGCGAACATCGCCATCGCCGAGAAATCTGTTTGCGCGCATGCACGTCGATCTTGCCAGCTGCACTCCGCCGACACAATTTGCAATCCACCCCACGTTCAATCAAGCAGGTTTGGAATGTTCTTTCCTCATTGGATTGACCGCGAACCAGCCCCACCCATCAACCACCGCCCTCGCGATAAGCCACCCGCTGTCGAACAAGCTCTGTACGCGTTCGGGTGCTGATGTGATAGACGTGGAGTGAGCAGAAGAGAGAGAGAGAGAGAGAGAGAGAGTTGGATGCAACGGTGGGCGCACATGGGGTGGGCAGCAAGAGGGAGAGAAGTGCAGGAAGGCAGCGGCCAACGCTCTACGGCTGGGTACGGCAGGCTCGCGCCGCGTTGACGCGGCGTCGGGCCCAGCCTGGGCATCCGAAATTGAGCAACTTCACCGCCCCAGAACCGACAGATATCGGACGATCTGCGCTTCAGGGAGGCCGTTCTCGTTCAAATTTGAACGATCCACGCGGTGCCAGGAACCATTGCCGACGTCTTCGCAACGTGAGCGTGCCGAATCCAAGCGAAGCTGATGCAGAGTCTTCGATGACGCGGACGTCGGAGTTGCTTGGCCAAGCGCCACTACGAGGCAGATGCGGTCGCCAGCGCTCTGAGCACGTACCAAGCACAGGGCGACCCCAATTTGATATTGTAGCGGAGCACTCCCAGCCATGTCGAACAACGTCGTGAATGTTGTTCTTCTTCTGGCGTGCGGCTTAGATTCACAAGATCGGTAGACCAAGACAGTGATGGCCACGATGTGTTGCAGTGCACGAAATTGGATGGCGGAGCATCACGCGTTTATCGGCAACGATGGTTCCGTTTGGGAGGTAGACTGAACACGTGCTCGGCTTATGCATTTGCATATATTGCTAGAGGGTACGTATATGATACCTACATGTATGAAGTGTCTCGTCTGATCGACGTCGCTCGTGCCGTCGTCGGCCGTGCCGTTGCTGGCAGCCAGGTGGCGCCTGCCGTGAGCATCCCCCGTGGGGCCCCATGCCCAGGGGGGCAGGGGACCGATCCTCATCCCCCCCTTCCCCTTCATCCTCCTTCCCCTTCATCCTCCTCCTCCTCCTCCTCCTTCCCTCCCCCGTCGTCGTCGTCGTCGTCGTCGTCGTCGTCGTCGTCGTCGTCGTCGTCGTCGTCGTCGTCGTCGTCGTCGTCGTCGTCGTCGTCGTCGTGGTCGTCGCCGCCGCCGTCGCCGTCGTCGTCGTCGCCGTTGTCGCCGTCGTCGTCGTCGTTGTCGGTCGTTTTGTTTCTCGTCGTCGCCGGGGTGCGGTCCCTTGTCTTCCTCGGGCTTGTGGACCCCCCGCGGGGGGGGGGGGCGCCCGAGGCATCGGACTCCGAGTCCACTCATTGATGCCGCCTCTGGGGATCTGGCCGGCCGGACGTTATGGGGTCGCGGAGCGCCCTCATGTCCACGAGGGTTTGGCACGAGCGCTTGAGACAGTTCGAACTCTGTCCTCTGCTCCTGGCTAGTGGGTGGGTCGTGCTTGGTGACGGTTGCCCGGCCGGCCACTCTTTGGCCGGCCGCCCCTCTTCTAGCCCGCTTGCTCTTGCGATCTTCTGGCGCACCGAGCCCGTGACATTGGCAGGTGGGGACACGATTTGTCCGCCCCTGGGTCGCTTCGCGCATTGTTCGACTTTGGCTGCCACTGTGTTGCATCACAGTCCCGCTTGCAGATATCCACATTGGGAACGCGTCAGCTGTCTGCGCGCACGCTTCTCTTTGTCCTGCTTCCTCTCCTTCCTCCTCACTTCACCTCCTTTGCGTCGCGGTGAGTCGCTGGATGCAGGCCGACTGTCCGCTTTTCTGCCGCCGCGCGCTGCAGCTGCAGCTGGGCGTTTTGCTCCTGGTTCTGCTGGCCCCCGCGTGCAGCAATGGCCAATGATGCCGAGCGGCCCAGTTGGGGAAAGTACTTCGGAGAGCCAGGACCATCAGGATTCTCTTCGGTACCACTGTAGAGCTGGCGCTAGCGGTCCTCTTGATCCGCTGCTGCACTGCCGTAGTCGCTCAGCGTGCGATCATCGTAAGAAAGGGTGATTCGAGCTCCTCTCTCCTCTCTTTCCTCCCGCGCTTGCCTGTCTCCTCCTCTCTCCTCCCCCTACACATCGTGGAGTGGAGAGTTTGGGCCCATGATGCTTTGTTCTTCGTCGTCTAAGGACGGTTCCAATGCCACTTTGTCCAGGTCGCCTGGCTGGCACTGGCGATGAGACGCTCGGCGAGGGCGTTCTGCCTCATCCGTCCGCCTCTGTGTCTGCGAGTTGCATGGCTGTTCCGATGCATGTGCATGTCTGTTTTGTTTAAGCGCGGTCTGGGTCGTCCTCCCGCTGCACCAGCCCGCCCCACGCGCAGGCCGGCAGCTCCTCCTCCTCCTCCTCCTCCTCCTCCGATTCCTCCTCCTTCTCCTCCTCCTCCTCCCTCCTCCTCCTCCTCCCTCCTCCTCCTCCCACTCTTCCTCCTCCTCCTCCTCCTCCTCCTCCTCCTCCTCCTCCTCGTGGCAGCCTTCCGCCGAGCTTCGGCGTCCGAGATCGCCGGTCGCCGGGCCCCTCCTGAATCTGCATTTTCTGTCGGCCCGATGTCTGCAGGCTGTGTGCATCGGGGCGGTGGGCATGAGCTTGAACTCGTGCTCCACATCTGTAGCCAACCGCTAAACAACAACTGCCGCAATGCGCGTCATGCTCTAATTTGTTGCACTGTACGCTGGCCGCCCATAGTTTCGGCTCCTCTGCGTCGGCTTTGAGGCTCTCTGCAGGTTTTATCATGTGTCGTTTCTCCGCCTTCCTGGCTCGCCCTCCTCCCCATTTGCGTTGGGCACAAGTGCGAGTCCCGCCAGTCTGGCCCTGTATGGGGTTCGCATGCGCGAGTTTTTACATTGTAGCCGCCATCTTCCTGAGGAATCGCATTTGCAAGTTTAGGTTATCTCTCTCGTAGTCCTCGGCCTCTCTCCCTCCTGCCCCTCATCCCGCTGTCTCGACCCTTGTTCCCTTGGAGTGGGGCTCCGGGAGCATGGCCGGACTTTCAAGATGTCTCAGTTTTGGCATGGGTGCTGTTTTAGGTTGCCTTGGTACCAGTTTTGACGGTTCGCGTGGTCACCCGTTCTGTCCGCATATATATATATATATATATGTATAGATACGTACGCACATACATATATATATATATATACAAGACTGCGTTGGCGCTGCGCGCCATGCACCTTGGTCTTTTGAGTTCTGCACGCAAGCGGAATGCGTGCGTGCGTGCGTACATGCGCGCATGCATGCATACACGCGCACGAGCATGCACGTTCCGTATACATGTCTAGGTGTATGCAATATACTGAAACTTTTGCATGTGTGTATACAGCGTACATATGTACATAACAAAATATATGTGTAAGGGTATGAACATGCATATGCAACTCGTACGGGGCATCCTCGGGCATCTTCGCTGCATGCCACGAGACCCTCAACGACTGGGTCACAATGTGAAATGTCATGGGAGCAAAATCAATGAATGTTGGCAATCGGAAACATCGTGGGGGTGTTTTCGGGGCCCTCGTGGGCCGTTTTGGCGCCTTCATGGGCCGTCCTGGGGCCTGCTTGGGCCGTCTTGGGGAGCTTGGGCCCGCTGGAACCCCCTTTGGACCCATCTTGGGCACTTCCGGGGACCTCCCATGGCCCTTTTGGGTCTGTGCTGGGAGCCCTTGGGGGGCCTCGTGGTTCCATTATGGGCTGTCTTGGAGCTCTCGAAGCTTTCTTGGGTGCCTTTTGGAGCGTCTTGAGGCGATCTCGGGGGCTTTGAAATCGTCTTGAAAGCTGATGAAATCCGAAAGGCGAATATGCTAAAATTGTAGGTTTTACGAAGGGAATGGGACGAATTGTGTGGTTTGAAAGCCCCTTGGAAAGCTTTTTGGGGTGCCTTGGGGGTCTTTATGTTGGCATTCGGAAACATCGTGGCTTCCGGGGACCTCCCATGGCCCTTTTGGGTCTGTGCTGGGAGCCCTTGGGGGCCTCTTGGTTCCGTTATGGGCTGTCTTGGGGCTCTCGTGGGCGATCATGGGGCCCGGCTCGGCCGTCTTGAAGCTTTCTTAGGGGCCTTTTCGGGCGTCTTGCGGCGATCTCGGGGGCTTTGAAACCTTTTGAAAGCTGATGAAATCCAAAAGGCGAATATGCTCAAACTGTAAGTTTTACGAGGGGAATGGGACGATTTTTGTGTTTTGAAGCCCCTTGGGAAGCTTTTTGGAGTGCCTTGGGGGTCTTTATGTTGGCATTCGGAAACATCGTGGGGATGTTTTCGAGGCCCTCGTGGGCCGTTTTGGCGCCTTCATGGGACGTCCTGGGGCCTTCTTGGGCCGTCTTGGGGAGCTTGGGCCCGCTGGAGCTCCCTTTGGATCCATCTTGGGCACTTCCGGGGACCTCCCGTGGCCCTTTTGGGTCTGTGCTGGGAGCCCTTGGGGGGCCTCTTGGTTCCATTATGGGCTGTCTTGGGGCTCTCGTGGGCGATCGGGGGGCCCGGCTCGGCCGTCTTGAAGCTTTCTTGGGGGCCTTTTGGGGCGTCTTGCGGCGATCTCGGGGGCTTTGAAACCGTCTTGAAAGCTGATGAAATCCGAAAGGCGAATATGCTAAAATTGTAAGTTTTACGAAGGGAATTGGACGATGTTTGTGCTTTGAAGGCCCCTAGGAAAGCTTTTTGGGGTGCCTTGGGGGTCTTTCGGGCCGTCCTGACGCAATTGGAGTCCCTCTTGGAGCGCTCTTGTGCTGTCTGGGGCCTCCCTTGAGCCTTTCTGATGACCCCTCGGATCGCTCTGGGTCTGCTAGCAAGGCGTTTGTGGAGACCCGGAAAGCCGGGTGACCTTTTCCAAGGACGTCCAAGGGAGCCCGAGAACCCCAGATCCGGGGGGTCCAGTTTTGGGAGGGGGGGGAGGGTTTTTCCCCCCCCCGGGCTTGCAAAAATATAGGAAGAGGAATATGGACAGCCCCCCCGACAGAAAAAATGCTTAGAGAGAGAGAGAGAGAGAGAGAGAGAGACAGACAGAGACAGAGACAGAGACAGAGACAGAGACAGAGACAGAGACAAAGAGGAAACGAGAGAGAGACTTGAGGGAGCAGCGATCCCTGTGAAATCACAGGGTGCGCGACGGCTGGAGTCACCAAACCCTGTGGTTTCATTTGGATTTCTTTTTGATTTCTGGGATGAGAATCAGAGCCTGTGTTTAAATTTGGATTTGGGGGATTTCAAAGGATTCTGAACTTCCTGAAAAATTAAGCCCAGGAGCCTTCGGAGCTTCACAGCCTTCGGGAATCCCATCAATCCAAAAAAGATTAGTGAAAACACAGGGTGTGCGACGTCAGGGGTCACCAAACCTTGCGTTTTCATTTGGATGTTTGGGATTTCTGGGATGCAAATCATGAAAGCCTTGTGTTTTCATGTGGATTTTTGGGATTTCTGGGATTTTGATTCTCCAGAGAAAATGAGCCCAGGAGCCTCCAATTTTTTTTGTGACCTCTGAAATCCTAGAAATCAGGAAATCCCTATGAAAACACAGGGTTTCCGTGATTCTCATTTCAGAAATCCAACAAAACCAAGTGATAACAAAGGATTTGGTGACCCCTGCCGTCGCACACCCTGTGATTTCATAGGGATCCTGTCTGTCTCCCTCTCTCACTCAATATGTCGCTCTCTGTGTCCAGGTCTCTGCCTCTCTTGCTCTTCCTC